CTGAGATGATTCGTGGGATTAGTCTTTGCTTCTAATACTTTGGGATCCCATAATTATTTAAAAAAAGTGAAATAAAATAAAAATAATGTCGAACCAATGTGTACAGGAATTCGTGAAGCAAGTGCTGGAGACGATAGAGTTAGATGAGATCAAGGATTCATTGGTGGGAGTCGCCGGAGAGAGCGGATTATCGACGGAGCAGAGGAAACGACTTACGATTGCGGTGGAGTTGGTGGCGAATCCCTCGATCATCTTCATGGACGAGCCTACGACGGGACTCGACGCGAGAGCAGCCGCCATTGTTATGAGAGCTGTGAAGAATGTTGCTGACACTGGACGAACCATCGTCTGCACTATTCATCAGCCTAGCATTGATATTTTTGAAGCTTTTGATGAGGTTATTAAATTGCAAAACGTGTTTCATAAATTTAAATATTTAATATTTGCCCCAAAACTATTTAACATTATCTAAGTAAGTCTAAAACGAACTTTAATTTTCAGCTGGTGCTTCTTAAAAGAGGTGGTCGCATGATCTACACAGGACCATTAGGCCAAAATTCATGTCATGTCATCGAGTATTTTGAGGTAAGTTATACTTTAATATATGATTGTTCGTAACAAACATATTGAAAACTTGTTTTTTTTTTTACTATTGGGTTATTAATAACAGAATGTTCCTGGAGTTCCTAAAATAAGAGATAACCATAATCCAGCAACATGGATGCTTGATGTTAGTTCACAATCTGCTGAAGTTGAACTTGGTGTCGATTTCGCACAAATCTACCATGAGTCCGCCCTTTTCAAGTGAGTAAATCTTCTAATGTATGCGTATACCAAACCATGGTGTTCTAATAACTATTGTGATTGTTTATAGGAGCAACTCAGAGCTTGTGAAACAGTTGAGCCAACAGAATTCAGGTTCAAGTGATTTACAGTTTAAAAGAACATATGCACAAAGTTGGTATGGTCAATTCAAATCTGTTCTGTGGAAAATGAACTTGTCTTACTGGAGGAACCCTTCTTATAACCTAATGCGTTTGATCCACACATTAATCTCTTCTCTGATCTTCGGCGCACTTTTTTGGAAACAAGGCCAGAAAATGTAAGTAACATATGGATCTATTAGTACCTTAAAATGTTCTAATATGTCATGTAAGTTTAATCTGTTTTTGTTTTATTGTAGAGATACTCAACAGAGTGTGTTCACTGTAGTTGGAGCGATCTACGGGGCTATGCTCTTCTTAGGGATTAACAATTGTGCATCAGCTCTTCGCTATTTCGAAACAGAACGAAATGTTATGTACCGTGAAAGATTTGCAGGGATGTACTCAGCGACTGCTTATGCATTAGGTCAAGTTGTGACTGAGATACCTTACTTGTTCATACAAGCAGCCGAGTTTGTGATCATAACGTATCCAATGATTGGTTTCTATCCTTCAGCCTATAAAGTCTTTTGGGCACTCTACTCTACATTCACCTCTCTTCTCACTTACAACTACCTTGCTATGTTCCTCATCTCCATCACACCAAACTTCATGGTTGCCTCGATTCTTCAGTCGATCTTCTTTGTTAATTTTAATCTCTTTTCCGGGTTTTTGATCCCTGAGACGGTATGATATTTTTCTTAAATACTTTGAATATCTTAGAAGAGAAAGAAGTTTAATAATGTGTTCAACTTGTGCAGCAAGTTCCAAGGTGGTGGATTTGGTTGTATTATATAACACCAACGTCTTGGACACTCAACGGGTTTTTCTCGCCTCAGTATCAAGATATTCATGAAGAGATCATTGTCTTTGGAGAATCCACAACGGCTTCAAAATTCTTAGAAGACTATTTTGGATTCCATTATGACCGTTTGGCGGTCACTGCGGTTGTTCAGATCGCTGTTCCTATTTTGTTTGCTTCCATGTTTGCATTTTTTGTGGGCAAACTCAATTTCCAAAGAAGATGATGATCATGCCGATCTTTTTTTTTCCTTTTAGGACAAACAAATACTGCTTTTTGTTGTTGCTGTGAAAATAAACATCTAACTTGTTTTTGTTGTATATGATTTTCAAGAAAGAAAACGAAATAATGTCTTCTAATTAAAATATGGGTTTTGAAAATTTGTTTTTTTCAACTTTTTTTTGGCGTCGAAAACTCCATATTTATTATCTTGGTTCTAAAAGGTTGGTTTCATCCAAGATTTCGAGATCAGGTTTCTTTTGCAAGAGAGTCCGCTCGAGAGTTTAAAATACGAGGAATAAAACCGATGGAGCAATGATTAAACTTAGAACTAAGATGGAGAAACTCTTTTAATTCAGCCATTAAAACTGGCTTCTTCCATTTTTTCGTTAGCTGCTGGCAGTTGGACTCGAAAGACATAGCTTGGAAGCCAAGGAGGAGCATGGAGTTCATAGCCCATAGGTTGGTACGGAATTCCGTTTGTATGGGAGAAATCGCTTAGCGAATGAACCAAAAAAATTGTTTCCTTCTTCGTCTTTGAATGAGAAACTTCCTCCAATAAAAAAAGCATTTTTACGCCATGAGGCATCGACCTTGCAGTGAGGTCTGGTACGCACGTCCATACTTGGTGCTTGATGGTCATCATCTTATTCTTGCTTGATTGGTGTTGCGTGATGGTCATCATCTTATTCTTGCTTGATTGGTGTTATATGGGCAAGTTTCTATGTATCACCTCATTTGAGGCAAGCTGAAGTGTGTCTAGTGGGGAAATGTTTTTCCCATTAAAGATTTTTTCATTACGCGCTTTCCCTAGATACCAAAGTACCCATAAAATTCTGAAAGTTATAGATTCGAGGATACCCTGCTCTATGATTCTCCATAAGAAGTGATCAAAGTTACATGATATGAAGGTACACAGGAATGATCCCAGAATAAAAGGAACATTTCCGAGAGCTAGCCCAAGTCTGTATTTCAGGAAGGCATTCGAATCGAATGTGAATTTTTCGTTTCTTACTCTGATCCGCAACGTGTGCAAGAACGATCTCTATCGTAGACCAAGATTATTAACCGGATCTATAAAGATGAATGTTTTTACGTCATGTGAATTGTGAATTTTACAAAAATGATTTATTAATAGATATTTTTTCAAAGAGTTATATGCAAGTGAAACTTTGAGATGTGGGCCCTCGTAAAATCATATATTCTGATTTAAAAATCGTTAGTATAATAATTAGAATAATTTATAATAAAAATAAATAGTATTAAAAGTATATAATTAAATAAACGAATTAAGATGAAAAAATTTGGTCAAGGATATTTGGTTAACAAATAGTATCATCCTACTTCTTGCTTAACTATTACTCATAAGATGATTGGTTAAATTATTAATTATGAGAAATTCCATTTTTACATGTATAATACTAAGTTCTAGGCCTGGGCAAATAATCCGAAAACCGAACAATCGAATAGAAACTGGTCTGACAAAACTGGTTTGGTCCGATTTCGGTTCTTCCAAATAAACCAAACGGTTCATGATTTTGTGGTATAATGGTGGTCGGTTCGGTTCGGTTCGGTTCGGTGGAAAACCCGACATTCATTTGATTACATCCGACACCCGACGATCCATACACAACCCTAGCCCATTGTGAGTTACCATCAAAAAAAAAAAAATATCCATCAAGATTTTACAAAGTCAGTTCATTGTCTTTTATCATTTAGTTTCTTTATGTCTACCTTTTTATGTTGAATTTTGTAAATCTTTTTTTTTTGGTTTAGGTACAATCTGTGATTGTAAACAATAAACAAAGGTTTTTTATCAATTTTTTAAAGCAAAACGAGTATCAAATTAGTGCATCCATAACCGATTACCCGTTTAAGAACCGAAACCCGTAAATATATTGGGTTTAATTAGTTTTAGACAAAGTTACAAAATCCGAACCGAACCCGATGAAACTTGATCCGATACCGAACCGAAGTTTTATAATATCCGAATGGAGCTGATTTTCGTAAAACCGAAAATCCGAAACCCAAATGGATTCTACCCGAAACCCGATTGGTCCCCCGATTATCCAGGCCTACTAAGGCCTCGATTGGTACAGCAGATGATAAAGCAATAGCAGTATGCTGCAGAAGCAGTATGCTACAGAAGCTGTATGCTTTCATTAAATTTTTCAATAAAGTGATTGGCAGAGCATTAGCAGTATACAATTTTAAAATTGTCATAATAGTTAGTAAAATAATATATTTATTTTAATATAATATATATATATAATATATTAATAATATATAATTTTATTAAAAATAATTAATGTTCATTATGTAAATTATATTTAAAAATTAATTTTTTTTTAAAATATTAATTTTTTTTGGATATAACATATTCCTCATATATAAAATTATAGTTATAATTTAATTAATTATTATAAAATTATAATTATTATTAAATAAATAAATTAATTAATTATAATTTATATATAAATTATTATTATTTATTTATTGGCAGAGCACTAAATTACTCATATATAAAATTATCATAAAAGTTAATATATAATTTATTTATTAGAGTCTAAATAATATGTTATATCGATAATATATAAATTATATTATGTTATGTTTGTTATTAAAAATAATGAATGATATATGTAATTATATAAATTATATTATATTTTAAATGTGAAATATTGTTCTTTTAAAAATAATTAATTATAATTTTATTTTTATTTTTTTAAAATATAAATTTATATTTAATTATAAAAATATTGTTTATATTTTTAAACAAAAATAAATTAATTATATATAAATATTATTAAGTTTTATAATTTCTATATGCAAATGCTCTCCCAAAAGCTCTATATGAGAGCATTGAGCAAAAAGCATTTGGAGAGCATTTGCATTTGGTAAATGCTTTTCTAAATGCTTATTTGCCAAATGTTGATTGGATAATAGAGAGCATAATGCTTATGTTAATTCTCTACCAATCAACCCCTTAGTCTTAGTCCATATTTAAGAAAAAAGGAATTATAAACGAGCAAAGCAAACCGGTCAACGGAAGAGGCTGGGTCTGCTCCTAACTTGTTCCTATACGCTTTTCTCCAACGCCATAGCCAAAAAAGCTCGCCGAGATCCAAAACGATGCGTGTTGATCGAATCTAAGCTTTTATTATCAATCGAAACCCTAACTACACACCTCCCTCGTCTTTTTATACATTTAATCGGTGATGTCAATCCGAATCCCATCGGCTTCGTGGGACTTTCGAGGTTTCGCATTATGTTTCATCTTCCTCGGATCGCTCCCAGGTATTCAAAAAATTGTCTTTAATCTGATCTCCGCCCCCCCTTACTTTTAGCTTGAATTTGGAATTGTATTGTGATGGTTCCACAGGAGCAATACGAGCACAAGAAGTTACACTAGATTCGATTCAGATATTCAAGACGCACGAGTGGTTCTCTACTAAGCCTATAGTCTATTTCCAGTGCAAAGGAGAGAACAAGACGGTGCTCCCTGATGTCAAGATAACCAATGTTTCTTACTCTTTCAAAGGCCAAGAATCTTGGCAGGTTCTGTCTTCTTCTTAATGTAACGTTTTTATATCTGTTAAAAGGTTTGATTGGTCTTGAACCAGTGTAAAGAGAGACTTATGTCCTTAGGATTGAGTAATTATGCTTTATCATCACTGTCTTTAAGATATGTTGTGTTTTGTTTCTTTGAAATGTTTCAGCCACTAACGGGACTTAACGGAACAAAGTGCAAGAGATGTGGAATCTATGAGGACGACACCTTTAAATACGATACGTTTGACGAGTGGGAGCTTTGTCCTTCTGATTTCACTGCTGAGGGTAGATATACACACGCCAAGGACAATGAATTCAATGCTACTTTTCTCTGCCATGGGTGCTCACAACTTGGAGCTGGTGAGTTACCACCACACAAGCTGTGGGATGAACTATGTGCTCTGGGATGAATGTGATTAGGAATATGACAAGCGCTGTTTTGTTTTGGCAGATTCGAAGAAAGAAGATGGCTCTGACAAGGAAGAAGGAAGGCGCGGAATGCATCCTGCAATCGTGCTACTTATTGTACTACTTGTGTTAGGTGTAGTTACGGTGGGTCTTGCGGTAGGTTACAAGTTTTGGCGAAAGAAGAAGCGGCAACAAGAACAGGCCCGGTTTCTCAAGCTGTTCGAAGATGGTGACGAAATTGAGGACGAGCTTGGCCTTGAAAATACTCTCTGAAGCTATATGGCCTAGTAAATGGGTTACTGTAACTCAGTGTCAACCTGTGTACATACATACACAGCTCCTTCATCCTAATAACATTTTGTTTTGGTCTGAAGTATAGGAGAAAAAGGAAATCACATTGATCGACATATATATACAAAGTTCTCAAAGACAAATTCCTTTTTATCGTATATGTTTGAAATTAACGAGGCTAAAAGAATTATTGTGAAAAATTTGTAACATTTTGGAAAATAAATATTAGAAAACCTGAATATAATAAGAAAATGCATAAATATTCGAAGCTTTATTCTTACAAGAGTCGAACGAAAGTCTTATAAATATGTTTTGCAAACAAAAATTGTATGAAAGCTAACAGTTTGAAAGCTGTCTAAAGACACAACAGCGAGCCAACAAAAGGATCAAGGCAAGGAAGGAACAGCATCATCCACTGACATACAGTTGAAGCATTGAGCCATCATGGTGACTCGCTGCCTTTAGGGGAAGAACGGTTAAGCTCAACCTCATCATCAACAGGACTCCTGTCCTGACCATCAAGTCCAGTAGGACTGTCTTCACCTCTTACAATGGGACTCACAGAGCTTTTGCCATTACCATTCTCTTTTGGGCTACCTTCATAGTCTGATCCTTCTTGCTTTTCACGTTTTGGGCTTGCATCTATAACTCTCCGCTCTGGACTCATGCTTTGGTCTTTGCCTCTGGGAGATACGGATCGCTCGATTGCCTTGGGGCTGAGTGATCTATCCTCCACGCTTCTCTCTCTTCTCACTGGGGACCGTGATCGGCTAATCAAACAAAAGTGCATCAATTAATAAGAAAATGCCAATATAATTATCTACTGCATGCTTTAAAGGCTCAAATTTAGAGCTAACCTGTAGCTACGACCACGGCTGTAACTACGGCTACGGCTTGGGCTTCTTCTGCGGCGAGGGGAACGGGATTTAACAGGTGACCTGGAGTAGCTTCCACCACCCCTGAATAATTACGAGCCAAAAAGGTTATCAGAAGAAGCTTAATAAAGAAACTGTTCAAAACAAGGGTTTTAAATAATAACAAGTACCTGGCCTTCTTAGGACTAGGACTGTTCTTGCAGTTTCTCTCAATGTGTCCTCTTTCACCACAACGGTAACATTTGTTCTTCCAGTCCCCAGCTGTGCAGTCTCTAGCCCAATGACCATCAACACCACAGTTAAAACAGCGGCCAGAACCGGGAGGTGGACCTCTACTACCATTATCTCGAGGGTCCCGAGAACCACGAGGTGCCTAACAAAACATTAAAGGATTTTCGCAGGACATTATTAGTCATTTACATCGAACCAGAGAAGGAACATATGATACAGAGACACAAAAGCAACTAACCCCTCTGGAAGCCTCCACAGTGATGCGACTTCCATCGAAGTCTCGTCCATCTAAGTAATGTCTTGCGTCATCAGCATCACGAGGATCACTAAATTCCTGTTTTCAAAATGTGATAAAGAGCCAAAGATAGATACACAATATACATATATATAATGTTTACCGAGTACAGACTAAAGTGAGAAATAAAAAACCCTGGGATGAAGGTTGTTATTAAACTTACAACAAAGGCATAATCGCGCTTCATATCAACATCTCGTACTCTGCGGAAAAGTGTAGCCAGAAAATCAAGGCCCCATCATTACATAAGGAACTTCCATACACCAAAACACCATTTTTGAGATTTGGAAGGCCAAGTCCACACTAAAAACAAGCAATAAATCTACAAACAATATCGCCAATGCACCCTCTATACACCACACCAGGAGAGAGAATATCCACCAATTACACACCAAGTCCACAGTACACTCATCAAACATCTCCAGGTTAGGCAACCTTCAACAACATCACTCAAGTTGAGAAAGAAACGAAAATACTAAAACCTAGACCCATAAATGCAATATGCTATAAATACAAAGACAGAGATGTAAACTACCACATTGGATTCTAAGTTAACCTTTTGTGTACATATCTCCCTAACAAAAATCATTCCAGATCCATAACAAATAAAAAGACAAATTTTGTCTCCCCCAAACACACAAAACCAAAATTTGATTAAGTTACCTTCCGTATCTGCTAAAGAGACGCTCAAGGTCTCTGGTGCGAGTTCTAGATGACAAGCGGCCAACGTAGAGGCGAGTGTTTCCATATCGATCATCAAAGCGAGGCATTATCTATCTGATTCATTCGTAATCATAATCTATCAGCGGCATATAAAGAACAAAAGTTTACATCCAAGAATCGATTGAAAACCATAATTAACAGAACAAACATCAACAAATCGAGAAGATCAAATCTTTATATACCTGGAGATGATAACAGAGAATGAAAGTGCGGAATCGCCGTAACCCTAATAGTTTCGAAAAGAAAGACAGGAAGTGAACCGCGGACAATACTCTTTGTTCCCTATCTTATAAATGTCGAAACCGACAAGATTTAACGGTGGAGATTCGTTTCAATCAACGGTTCCGATTTATACTAAAATAAATATTGGGCCTGATATTACATTATTTAAGCCCATTCAAGGGATCATTTCGTTTTCTCGTATCATATAAGGCAAGAGATAAGATACATCGCTGACCAAACACATAAATAAGGCAGGATAAGATTTTCATTGACCCGAAAATTAGTGTTGTAAAAACAGGACCCGTTGATTGACCGAAAATTAGTAAACCGGTAACAATCACAAAAAAGTACGTTATAAACCACTTCAAACCGATATAAATCTCTAAAATCAAAAATTTAGATCCAACTATTTGCGGTTATAGTGGGCAAACTATATATTTATTTTTTTCAAAAAATTACATAAATATAAAAATGAAATATTAAATTAAAATAACAAAATATATCTTTTTTTTTATATTGTAAAACTTCAAAAAAAAAATATTTTCTATAATTTCAAAACAATTTAATAGTATAAGTTTATCAATATAATTTTTATATTTTTATAAAATTATGATTTGAATATTTTGATAATTATATAAAATGTAAATATTATTAATTTATTATTTAACTACTGTTGCATTTGATAGTTGATCAGTCATAAATATCTCGTAAACACAATAACTTTGGGAGAATTTCAATTATACCACTTTGGTGGTACCACTTTTCATGTTTACCATCAACAAATGAACATTTGCAAAAATACACATTTTATTAAATGATAAAAGACTCTTATATCCTTGTTCTTTATATATATACATAAAATAAATATTAAATAAAATATTAACCCTAAACCCTAAAACATCAATTCTAAACTCTAGGCCCTAAAAAGTAAACCCTAAACCCTAAAATATCAATTCTAAACCTTAAACCCTAAACTCTAAACCCTAAAAAGTAAGCCCTAAACCCTAAAAAATCAACACTAAACCCTAAACTATCAATCCTAAACCCAAAAGCCTAAACCATAAATTCTAATAGTATTTTGACTATTAAAATTTTAATGGTAAAGTTGGTTAGTGTAAAGTTGAAAAGTGGTATCTTGAAAGTATTGTTTCTGGCAATTTCTCAATAACTTTTAATCGATGTACCAATCGTTCAAATCTCTTACAACGCTGAAACCCATAATTACCCACATTTGAAAACGCTACGTTTTCACCAGACCATAACTCTTTCTATTCAATTTCAAGTTTTGTTAAAATTGAGATTTGAATTAAACCGTCAACCTGATTAAATTAGTCAAACTTGTCAAAATCTATGATCATGTTTAATACCAAAACCCATTTTTAAAATTTTAAGCCAAAAAATAAAATTTCCCAATTTAAACTATTTCTAAAAATTCACATTAGTTTAAATGATATGACAACAAATTGCACCAATTAGAAGTATAATTTTAAGCTCATTAAGGATAATTTTTTTTTAATCGCTGACCAAAACTAAATAAAGAAAGTAAGTAAAGGGAAAAGGAAAGATTACCTAGAACAAAAACACTATTTAAAAAGAAGAAAAATCGTGAATCCAAAGAATTTGTTTAGAAGACAGAGATGATGTCATCAACTCTCCTCGAGCAAACTCGCTTCAGACATGAGGAGGTTGAAATATTGGGGCAGCTGGTTGTGGAGGAGCAATGAAAGACAGACCCGCCGTCTCCCATTGAGAGATTAGTCATGGGACTTTGTGTCCGTAACATGATCCAGTCTATCATGCTCAAAACTGAGAAACTTGTTGAAACCTATAAAGATAAAGATAGGAAGATGGAAGTTGAGATAGCAAAGCTTGGTAAAACAGATTTGTTTTATGACGGTTTGAAAGAGATACGTGAATATCATAGAAAGCTTCACCATTCTGGCCAAGTTGCTGATGCTAGTGAAGACTATATAGCACTTGTGTCGAAGGAAAAACCAGTTGTTGCGTTTGGTGGAGAGGAAAGCTTTGAGAAGAAATAAGGCTTGACGTATAAAAAGATGGAAGAAGAATGTGAGAGGGAACAGGAAGCTCGTGCCACACCAGAAAGTGTTGATGATGATTAAGACTCAGAAGTTGAAATCTACACCGTATTGGCTCAAGAATCTACATGGACTTGGGGAGGAGTTTAAATGCGAGATATGTGGGAACAGAAAATATAAAGGAAGAAGAAGTTTTGAGATGCATTTTAAAGAAACTCAACACCAACGAGGTATGCATCTCTTGGGAATACCAAGCACAAACCTCTCAAAATCACTACGATTGATGAAGCAGAAGAATGGTGGAGGAGAATAAAGAGCCAAGGAATGTGCATATGGAGCCCAGAACTTGAAGAATAAGTACATGAAGATGGCGGAAGTAACATTTTATAAGAAAATTAAATTTTTGGATTCGCGGATATACAGAAGAAGTCATAAAAACATATTTGGTGAATTATTCAAGACAATAGATTTACAAATAGTTTACAATTTTATTTGTTACTTTATTGTTTTACTCTTTTTTAACACTTTTTTTTAAACACACTTTATTGTTTTACTCTAATCTCTTTGTTTTTAGTGAAAAATAGAATTTAAAGATTTTAGATTGGTTAATCCACGACCAGTGAATAATTTTTTTTGTTGTTGCAAAACTACTATTCGAAAGTAAAAAAAACTCTAATTTCTAGGATAGTATTGTTGAAAAACCCCTCCATGATTATTTTTTATAGAAAAGTATGTCAATTGTCATTAGTATAAGAAATTTAAATATTTTATTTTGCAATGTTATTTGAAGTTAATGGTTAGACGTATAAGGGGAATGTGAACCCAATCCGTGAGTTGGAAAGATTTCTTTTTGCAGGAGAGAGGAATTGCTATGATGAACTATGATGAATAGGGATGCTAGTAATAAAAAAATTGCATAATGAATTTACTGTTAGCCTAAACTGTGAATGTCTAAACAAACTGATGAAGGAAAGCGTAGTGCTTAAAACCTGAAATCCATGGCCATGGATTATCACTGAGGTGGAGGTGTGGAGGTGAAGTTTGACAATTTTCCCATAGATGGAGACACTCATACACTTTGCAACTCACATATCACTAACACCTACCTTTCAACACGTGCTGCATGTAGTCATTGTTTTTGCCAACATCAATGATTTTCCTTTTACTATGGAGGTTAGAATTGCTCGTATTTTTAACACATATGGACCTCGGATGTGCTTCGATGATGGTCGTTTTTGGACCCAATTTCAGCACTAGTTAAGTAGGCCCAAGCTCATGCAAGATCATCATGAGCTCGATGTCGATTGGACCCAACGAGGTCGAAATGGTATCCCAGAGATTATGGAAACAATTAGAAGTGGAGAAGATTATAAAAGGAGAGATAAAGCGGAGCACAAAGACACAGAAAAACCCTAGAGAAAACTACTATTCACATCGACCTCACATCATAAACTTCTAGTTCGCATATAATTTTCATCTTTCATTGTTGTTCTCGATCTTGTTTATCACTTTGTACAAAATTTCATATTCAATAAAATCCATATTTGTCAACTGAATTCTGATTGTATTGTTGTGTTTAAGAGCATTGTTGCCCATATCATTTGTCTTCCCCTGATTAAACTTTTGATCACTACAAAATACTTAGTGTGGATTTTAGGATCTACATTTTGGCGCCGACTGTGGAGAAGATAAACGAAAAACGCCCTTGCTAAGAACATGATCTTGGATTTCTAAGCACGATTATGGATCCCAACGCACTCAACCTCGAAAACGCCCGATCAAGATCGACCGATGTCGATCCCACTGGAACAACTCTAGGAACCGATCCGGCTCCCGTCGATCAAACGAACGTCAACGAAGCCACCGACGTGATCCAAAATCAAAAAATTTCATCAACTGGAACTTCAATCACCGATAGGAGTACAGTCTCAGATCGAAACCTTCCCACCGATTGAATCGGATCTCGAGTTTGGAATCATACGATAGACAAAACGACGCCCGAAGATCCGACCCGAACAGGGAGACCGAGATCTCCAACCCACTTGACAGGAACTCGGGAAGAAGTTGGGGAACTCAAGGGAATGGTTTTGACGCTCATTGATAAATCTCGTGACCAAGAGATCGCTTATCAAAATATCGTCAACCGTCTGGAACAAATCGAGAGGGGACTCGCTGAATACCAAGCAAATCCAAGGGAAAGAGTCCGAAAATACTCGGATCCAAGATAGCTTGGGTGGATGTGTAAACCAAAGGAGGAGGGAGGTTTAGGTTTGAATAATTTATTTGAAACTAACAGAGTGTCGTGTTTGAAGCTTATATGGCGCATTCTTGCAGGCAGATCTTCATTGTGGGTGCAGTGGATTTGGAAGTACTTTATTAGGAAAGGATCATACTGGAGTGTAAATGAGAAGATTTCTTTAGGGTCTTGGATGTGAAAGAAATTGCTTAAACTAAGACCTTTGGCCATGCAGATGTCGAGAATGGAAGTTAATAGTGGCTTTGCTATTTCTTTCAGGTTTGATAGATGGTCATCGCTGGGGAAATTAATTGATATAACAAGAGAAAGAGAAACTATGGATCTTGGTATTTCACTAAATAGTACGGTGGAGAGTGTTATTTAGTTATATCGAGCTAATAGACATAGAGTTTCCACACTCCAGTTGATTGAGCATGAAGTTATGTTGCTAAAGCGTAGATGTCTTAATCAAGAAGATGATATTTGTCTTTGGAAGAGAGAAAATGGGGAGTTCAGAGAAGGTTTCTCCACATCGCAAACTCGGAACATTATTAGAGAAAGGTTGCTGAGAGTTTCTTGGTGTAAAGGAGTATGGTTTTTTGAAGCTACACAAAGTTCTCATTCTTTATATGGATTGCTGTTCGTAATAAATTAGCAACGAGAGACATGATGATTAGATGGAATCCTCATGCTATATCTACGTGTTGGTTGTGCAAAATGGATACTGAAACCAGAGACCACATGTTTTTTGAGTGTGCTTATTCGAAGGAAGTGTGGTTGGGATCTATACAAAATTTAGCAGGTAACATGAGTTTATATGAGTGGTCTAGGGTGGTCCATGTTGTGGTAAGTGGACTTCATGGAAGGATTCTAACTTTCTTATTTCGCTACTGCTTTCAAGCTGTAGCATATGCATTATGGCACGAGAGGAATATGGGCGCGAGAGGAATATGAGAAGAGTAGGGGATCCATCACAGCTTGGCTGTTGTCTCATCGCTCGGCTGGATAAGTTGATCAGGAATAGGATCACATCTTTACAAAGGAGGAAATGTGGTAAATATGAGAAAGTAATAGAGGTTTGGTTTATTAGAAGCTAATGGATGAGTGTGTTGCTTTTGTATATAATTTTCATAGTAGTTTGCTTTGTAAAGAGATGAGGCAGTAAAACAATCTGTAGTAAGATTTTTTTTTATTGGAATAAAATTTAAAATTCTTAGAAAAAAAAGAACACAGCGGATGATCCTCAGTAGAGGAAACCAGACATATAAGCAAAGCAAAGGAACTTCTTGACTGGGAACCAAAGATCTCTTTGCGGGATGGTTTGCCTCCGATGGTTAGTGACTTCCGTTACCAAATCTTGAACGAAGAAGGTAAAGGTCTCTAAATCAGTCACATAGAGGTCCTTCCTTCCTATAATAATTTATATAAAGTTTAGCTTTTTTAGGAAGAGCGCTGCTTAGTCTTTTCTTTATTCTTTCTCCTGTTCTTTTTCTTGTTCATTCACTAAGACTCAATGTCTTTTTTTTTTTGAAAAAAAAAAAACACTAAGACTCAATGTCACTACTTATATTAGCTAAATATTGTTTGTTTGCTTGATTTCTTGAATGATTTTGTTAATGGGCCAGTCAAAAGTGCTTAGTGATCTCAATTTTAGTGGAAGAATACTGTAAAATGATCTCAGTATAAAGATTAGCCTTTGTAGTTTGTACCACTCAAAGTATATATCTGTATAGATATGCATTGGCACACTCTCTCGATTCCTACAAGCATTAATTACGTTTTCTTGGAAATGTTTTTAAAAGACATCTGATGGACCATCTTATGTAAACTGTGACTTGTTTGTTTGCATTTGTATTTATGTATAGATTATTTCTCAATAACATTATTACATTTAAACTAAATTTTGTTTGTTAAAGCTTTCTTTCAATTTGTTTCTCCTTTTACATTTCAATTCGTTATATAGATTATCATCTAAAGTTGGTTCATATTTCCAAATTTTCGGAATAAGATAAAATTAACATATAAATGCAAATGAATAATCAGTTTATATAGCTAATCGAAGCAATTATATACTCTCTACGTTTATTCTTTTCCGATTTCTAAATATAATCTGAAAAATCTGAACCTTTTATTAGTTTGTAATAATAAACTAGATCTCGACCCGCACAACCGTGCGAGTATTTTAATATGAAAATATTTGAAATTATATAATATTTCTTTTCTTTTCAAATTAGATGATATTATGAAAGATTTATTTTGTTTCAAAATATAAGATGTTTGGAACATTTAAGGGACATTTTGAAGTTTTAAGGTTATTTTTAACTTTATTGGAAACTATTTAACGAATAAAAATTTATTGTTTTTTAATAATTGGCTGAATTATTTTAAAATTATATCTTTAAAAATACCTTTGTAAAAGATGTAAATTTCTTAATCTTTGTGCAATGATTCAAAACATCATATATTAATAAACGAAGAGAGTGAAATTTATCAATAAATAAATCTAATTTGATTATGTATACTATCCAATTTTATAATAATATTTATGTGACTTATAATATTATTAATATAAAATTTATAAATTGTATTTTTGTAACAATTTTTAAAAACATTGTTATGTAACATTACTAATTTATATATTTTATTTTATTCTAAATTTGAAATATATGTAAAAAAATAAATTAAGTTGGACCTACATAACACCTTAACAAAATATTAAGATATTTTTAAAAGTATTTTACATAATTTTTAATTTTTGTATATAAATAAAGAATGAATTAAAATTTTAATTATATTTTATGATAATCAAAATTTTAATCAAATAATTTTTGAAACTATATCTTGAAACAATTCTAAAAGATTTTGCTAGAATTTTCTTAAAACTATTTATTTGTATTTCAAATAAAAATTAAAGATATGAAAATATATTATGATGATATTATGTAAAATTGAAATTTCTAATGATGGTCTAAACTAAAAAAAAATCACACATGAAGTGAGTCATGACTTCTCTTTTAATATAATAGATTTAAAATATATGTAAAAAATAAATTAAGTTGGACCTATATAACACATTAACAAAATATTGGGATATTGTTAAAAGTATTTTACATAATTTTATTTTTTTGTATATAAATAAAGAATGAATTAAAATTTTAATTATATTTTATGATAATTAAAATTTTAATCAAATAATTTTTGAAACTATATCTTGAAAATATTCTAAAAGATTTTGTTAGAATTTTCTTAAAACTATTTATTTGTATTTCAAATAAAAATTAATGATATGAAAAGATATTATAATGATATTATGTAAAATTGAAATTTCTAATAATGGTCTAAACTAAAAAAATCACACATGAAGTGAGTCATGACTTCTCTTTTAATATAATAGATTATAAATTCTATAATTTAATGAAATGATAATCATAGAAACTAAAACATTCATCATATTAATCTTTCTGTAAGAACCTGCAAACACTATTAAACAAATGGACTAGATTGCATATGTAGAAAAGTAGTTGCATATAGCAGCTGACTGGAGCTACTAAAACTAGTTTTAAGCATTTCTGTTTCCACTTTGGTTGTTTGTTCAACAGAGTGATTCAGTCTGTTAGAACTTGACATATAAGGAATCAAATCGCTTTATATCTTCCCATATTCATTAACTTTCGACCTTCAGTTTTCAAAAATTTGTATTTATATTCTTTCCTTTACTCCTTTCTGAATAGAGACTGATCGGTCGAATTAAATACGCAAAAAAATACATTTGAATATATCCAAGAGAGAATAAATGTAATGTTAGTGCATAAATAGTTAACAGTGACATTTCAACTTCTAATGTGTGTGTGTGTTTTATGTGGACAATACAAGAGCGTTTCTACTCAACTCTCTGTTTACTCGTACCTTACACACTCATGTGACACACTGACGCATTATCAATTACACACATATACAATATTTATCACGTAATATATGTCTGTTTCTATATATTAATGAGCTTTTGTTTCTGCAAAGTTCGTATCCAAAATGTTTTGTGCATCGCAAGCATCGACGGCTACCGCTAGCCACGACGAAGCACGTGCCATCGACCGTCATAATCCCATTATCAAAGATGGTCGGAGATCTTTCACGGCTCCATGCTCTTCCGGCGACGACTACATTGCACCGTACCGCCAGCTTTCGAAAGTTACGAGAATACCCTCCTCTTCCGGTGAAGGGAAGATGATTCAGGTGGGGGAGAAGGGAAGAAAGAGCACTTCAGGGTCGTTGTTGAAGCTCAGTGATAATATCAGCTTAGCGAGGAAGAGTTTTGGCTGTGTTGCGGGACCCGCGTGTGACGTTACCGAAAGTACTCCTCCTGGTTCTACAAGGTATCTTCTTGGATCCGAACCAGTCTCTTCGGGTAAGGATATGGTTGTAACGGAGGAGGGTGAACCTTCTTTGTTAAAAAGAGGCTCTGGAGCTGCCGTGGAGGAGAAGAATAAGGCTTCTTCTGGTGGTTCAGACCAGGCAAGTAAAGTGAAGTGAATTTGTCGTTTAGCGTACAATGATTGAGTGGTATGAATGTAAGATAAAGGGAGATTTGAGTGTTGGCTGTGTCTTTTTGGATGCAGGTGATTGTTCTTAGAGTGTCTCTTCACTGTCACTGCAGAGGTTGTCAAGGCAAAGTGAAGAAGCATCTATCTAGAATGCAAGGTCAGCCTCTTTATCAACAAATAGACATAGTATTGTCTCTTAGTATAATAGATCCATTTTACCAAACCATAGGCAAACTAGTTTTGGTTTTAGATTAGATACCTGACCTGTAAACTTGTAACCCAAATGGGAAAATGCATATCCTTTTGGAGCCCGTTTACGTACCATATCGATGTCAAGATGAAACATTCGGTCTCAAGTTGATGTATATATATCCAACCTCCAAATTGATTAAAAATATAATATTGATTTCTTAATCCTTAATCCAGTAAAGCTCCATAACTCCCAGGATCGGCCCTAAGTATTAGCTAAATTATTATGGTTTTGGCAAATATGTAGGTGTGACATCCTTCAGCATAGACTTTGCTTCAAAGAAGGTAACTGTGACGGGAGACGTCACTCCCTTGGAAGTATTGGGTTGCCTCTCAAAGGTAAAAAATGCCCAATTCTGGACACCACCTCCTCCACCTGAGTCATCACTCCCAAGTGCAAATCCGGAAAACTAAAAAAGGACACACAATATTTTGTGTATTTCGAATTCATATCTCATTAGTCTGAATCAAATCAATGGTAAAACTTGAGACTTACCCTACTCTATTTTTATTGTTCATTAAGTAAGACCAAAACATTCAGATGATGATTGATGCTTGTTTATTCATCACCTTATATGATGAAACTGTCACATTAAATATTACATATTGCATTTTCTAGTTTATTTTAGCTGTATGGAAAATAGGGATAATATTTAACATTCTAGAAGATTGCATCTACCACAAGCTCTGCTATGAGTTCATCTGTCAGCATTTCCTCAATATCTCTACCTATGATTTCAATGTCATCTTCCAAACTCAGCCACTGCAACTCCCTCTCCTCCACATCATCTCTCCTTGGTTTCTCCTCTTTTCTTGTGACCAAATCGCTCAGAGTCTCTTGTATCTTGTTTGAATCCCATTTCGGGCAGACCCTCGTGGGTTTAACCCAAGGGTGTGGATCCGAAAACTGCTTTAGTATCTGCATTAGCTCTCTGCTGATCTGATCAAACAGGAACTTTCTTTCTAACCGGGTTGTGGTTTTCAAGGTGGAGTACTTCTTCTCAAGATCTTGAAACAAGGATGGATCTACAGGTGTTTCCATGACAGTGTTGTGGTCTGAGTCACTCAAACTTAAGTTAGCTAGGAGATCATCTAAGTATAGTGACTTCCAGTCTTTTTCTCTGACCTCTAGACTGACAACCCTCTCATTAGTTTTTGTTGTTAATGACTCTGCTTGATCTGTGTCTTCATCACTCGAAATAAGCATGCCACCTTCATCGTAAGCAGCTGACTCTAGTTTGAGAAGCTGAAGTTGCATCCTGAGTCCTGGAGAATACAGATAACAGTTAACTAGCGCTGATAACACCAAGTTTGAAGATACAGAACTGCACGAAGGAATCAATAGACTGACAAGCATTGATTGACTACCTTGGAGATCAGCGCTAACACTCTCAAAGCATTCTGAACTCGATGAAACATCATCATCAAAGGAAGCTTCTAGAATTGAAACCGGACTTGGTTGATCTCCTTCCTTTGAGCTTTCACGAGACTGTGGTTCAGGAACTGACGAATGATTTACATCCTTAGTTGGCATCCTTGAGACATCCTAGAACATCAGTGAACAATTAGTTACTTGTTATAACAAACACGTATATCCATGATCTTGAAACATAACGCTCACTTACAGGGTCAGTTAACGAAGTGACAGTTGACAAATCTGGAGCTTCAGAAGATATCGCTGTCTTAATTTCATCCGAAGCTGAACTATCCTCAGTGTCTGAATTTGCAACTACTGAGAAACTACCACCTGATTTAGACGGAGAGAGCTTCTCTTTTTGATGAATCTCGTGGTTCATATAAAGGAATTTGGTTAAACTTGGACTCATGTTGACCTCTGGCGAACTATTGTATGATGACTGAGATTTATTATTACCAGGTTTAGAAGATCTGCTTGACAAGAAAGACTGGGACTCTCCATGATGAGAAGAGCTCCCCTTCACTAATCCATCTCTACTAATCAATTCCTGAGGAAGCACTATAGTGTAACCATAAGTGCTTTCCTGGTTCATGATGGTTTTGGATTTTGAAAAACTTCTTGAAGATGATCCTTTCCAACCATCTCTACTACTGATTCCAACCGGTTCTGGCAATTCAGACAACTGAACATTTCTCTCAACTCTTTTACTAATCCCTTCTTCGAAATTAAGTCCATTAAAACTTGCTGGCCTTGCTTCCTTATCTGAAGTTGCAAGCATCTCAGCTAATGTGCCGCTTCTACTAATTTCTACCTCTTGCTCGTACTTGTGTGTCAGCTTCCATCTCTCTGACAGTCTCCTCTTGGCTTCTCTGCTCACGGATGATGTTGTTGATGACTTAGAAGGAAAAGATCGATGGTAGTTCTTACGGTTAAAGGCGGTTCTTGTTCTTGAAGTTACTGGCACTAACTCCATTTCACTTGCAGAATCACTCCCTGATGAGCTTTCATCCCCTGCATATCCTCTGAACCCTGAAGTCTCGAAGCTCATGGCATTACTACACCTCGCCTTCCTTTGCCTAGACATTATTTTGGAAAATTCTCCAGAATCTCTAGAACTCCGTCTTGAAAGGCTGATGTCTTCTTTACTTTTCTGCCTGATATGATTACTGGTGCATGGAAGCCTACGATCTGCTCTGAACTCATCGGAAGAAGAGCTTGGCGATGCAAAAGCTCTACCGGCATAACGTGTTTCACCGAGGTTAGGTTTCAGAACGACAATATTTGTTGGCTGCAACTCACTTCTCTTTCTCAGCTCCACATTTGGTAAGTCAAGTGAGTCATAAGAACCATGCCTACTATGAGAACGGCTAGGAGAACCACCACAATGCCCATGAAGCGACCTATCAACTTTCCGAGTTTTCAGACTATCCACATGCCTCTGGCTGTTTGGACACTTGAGAGACTGCGCTTGACCGTAATGAGACTTGTGAGGTGTGCTTTGAAGATCACGCAGATGTTTAGTAAATAAAGAATCGGGTTGCTGGAGAAACTTCAGCAGGAGGTCCTTGTTAGAGTCCAGAGCCTCAAGCGCATCACTAAACTCTTTTGAGTGACGAAGCTTCTCATCAGTTGATAACCGCTTAGCCTCCATGAACTTCTGCTTTATAAAATCCATCTCTGCCTGGGTTAAGTTAGAAGCATTCATCCTCCCCTGATGATATAAATTTTCATTGCTCTCTGCCCTCTTTGCATCCAATACTTCGAAAACATCTTTAAACTTTTGCTCCTCTTTTGAGCTCCTTCTCAGACATTTATAACCATCATAAGAACCACCTTCACCACTCCTAGTATGCTGAGTCTCCACAGGCTTGTTTTGTCTATGAGAAGTATTCTGAGGGGGCAAGACATCGAGTCCCATCAGTCTGGCTATAATGCTTGGTGATCTCCTTTTAGGTTCTGTCTGCTTTGACATTTCTTGAGCTAACAAACTTTTCATTGGTAATCCAGTTTTAGTTTGATGAGCAGAATCTTGATGCAGCTACAATATGAGGAGGAGAAGTCACTTTTAAACAACAAATGGAACCAAAACATCTCAATCCCAATGCTAAATATATATCTTAAAGAGTAGACATACCTTGTTCTCACTGAGAGCTTTCTCAGAGTGACAAGACTCAAATTCACAAGATGATCTTGGAGACTTGATATTCTTCCCTGAAAGAAAATGGATCCACTAATGAGAAAACCAAAGATGACTTTTAAGTGTTTATAAATGATAAAGCAATCGACTTTACAACGGAAGAAACTAAAAAGAAAGATAATTTAGGAGACAAAAAGAGTAATGTCAAGCACCAAATGTGGGGAGTGAAGAACATAAATAAAAGCATAATAAAGCAGTGAGGTTAAGTGCACTCATTAGTGATTACATGTAAAATTAAAAATCATAACCACTGCTGAAAGTGTTGAAATTTTTAACAAAACATACCAAATCATGAAAGCTACCCAACAAACTTTTCCCTAAGATTTTTTCTCTTCTTCTTTACTTTATCATAAAAAGCAGTTATCTCATCTTCTCTAACAACTGCTTTTAACTGTAGTTTTCCAAAAGATTACAAATTAGCATGCTTTTTTGTATTCATTTCCACAGCTATTAACTTACCAGTTAGGACAGTGATAACCTTCACTACGAGATTCTCGAACTACCCTCAAGAAAGAGCCAAACAAAACTAAGTACATGCTCTGTTTGTGTTTTTTTTTCCAAAATTTAAAAAAAAAATCAAAATCCAAAACAAATAAAACAGAAACGGAAAAAGAAAAGTGGAAACGGAGAGGGAGAGTAACCTTGATGAGAAGGGGTATGTGGCGAAGCTAATCGATCTCGGGAACTCGGCTCAGAGAGTCGATATCTGTTCATCTTTCACTCACTCGTAACCATTTGGTTGAAGCACGAAGAGACGTTATATCTCTAGATCGGGTAACTGAAGAAATTTTGGAATATAAGAGTAAGATTTTGAGGAGAATGCAAGTGAGTCTCAAGGATTAGAGGGAGATCGAATGAGTCCTAGAAGAAATTAAACGATTGCACAAGGAAAGTGAGAGAGGAGGCTTCCTTCGGAGTTAGTTGAAAGTTCAAAAATGTTAAAATGAGGACAAATAAAACATGTTACAATTAAAATTATTATTTTTTTGTAAGAAATTAAAAGGGAGGTGTGAATGGTGCTGTGTTTGGTACTATACTGAGTTCTGTGCATCCGTAATTTACTGCCACTTGTCTCTTCTCTTTGTCTTTTTTTTCTCCTCTCTTTTGTCGCACCGTTTCTTTTATTTATTTTATTATTTTTAATACAACAAATCAACACATTGGTGAATAATTTAATAAAAAATAGTTGTACTAAACTCAAGTTTGGTGTTTGTTTATGTCCTGACTCCTGAATCTTGAATATTTTTTCTTATGGTTGATAGGAAACAATATTTTCTGAAATATAATAACTTCTTTTAGGTGAACCAGTTTCCATAATTTAAAAAGGTTGTTCCCTATATTTTTATTTCATATGTACCTTTATAGGTAAGTTGTTTGTTCACTTATCTCCACTTTGTCTTTTTGATAAAGGAAAAATAAAAAATAAAAGTACAAAAAAGATAGGGAAATTTCATAAAAAATACATCAACTAAATTTTGTTAACTTTTTAATACCCAAAACTTTTCACTATCCAGTTTAATATAACTACTAATTATTTTGTTCACTTAATACTCAAATTTTTAAAACTGTATCCATTTTAATACCTAAACAATGTTTATTTTAATTACAATATTAATTTTTTTTTTTTAAAATACAAATAAGTTTCAAATGAAATTTAAAAATATCCAAGAACAAGAAAAATGGTTAAAGTAAACTAATTTATTTTATGTTTTTGGATACTTTTAAAAATCATCAAATAAACTTAATTTATTTTAGATTTTGGTAATACTTAAAATTTCGTTTGAAAATTATTTTGATTAAATAAAAAAAGTTTGAGAAAACACAATTTGAAAAAAAAATTGTATTAAAGTGAGAAAATAGTTAATTAGGATATTAAACTATATATAGCAAAAAAATTTGGGTTTTAAAAAACTTACTGAAATTTAGTTTGAATGTTTTTTATGAAACTTTCCTAAAAAAAGATAGTACAAGAAGAAAGCTAATCTGGAAATCATTTACACTACAAGAAAACTAAGTCTTTACTAGGAAATTTTATTAGGAAAAATCTTCCTCGTAAAATTACTAAGGCCTTACTTCGAGTTTACGAGGAAAGGAAATTTCCTCGTAAGATCCTCGAAAAATTATGAGAAAATGTTTTCCTCGTAAGACCTTAGTAATTTTACGAGGATCTTACGAGGAAAAAGTACTTTTCCTCGTAAAGCCGTAGTAAAGACTTTCCTCGTAAAGGCATAGTAAAAGATTACTACGAAATTAGGAGGAAACTGTTTATTACTATGAAGTTAGGAGGAACTGGATAGGAAATATCGAATTTAAATAAAAAACGTGTTTTGTACCTACTTTTGCTAGCAATTTCCTAGTAAATTCTCAGATTCGAAAATTTCTATAAATACCACCTTATGTGATTCATTTGAAACACACCAAAAAATAATCAGCTATAAGCTTGATCAAACACAAAAAAATGTCCGGTCCGGGAAATATTTTCGAGTTGCGGCAGTGGATGTATTCACACAGAGATAATAACGGGAGGGTGACGAACGAATTTCTGGAAGGGTTGGAGACGTTTATGCATCAAGCAGATTCTACACCACTCACGCAGGAAAGTGGTAAGATGTTCTGTCCTTGTCG